AACCCAGGTTAATTGTGAGCTATACATTTTTCATCAAGGGGCAAAAAAGTCTTTAACATATTCAACATTTAAAAAAATAAAAAAATGAGAAAAAAGATAGAAGGGGTTCTAAACATTAGAAGGTGTCACCTCATTACCTTTGGTTTCTTCTTTAATATATATATAGATTTAAGAATGGTTTGTTTAACCGGTAATAGTTTCATTAACAGACAGTTTTTAAACAATAAAAAAGTGAATCTTGTTTGATAAAAAAATATGTTTTTAATAGTTCTAAAACCTTTTGAATGATTTTGTATTTTAGACATCTCTTGACCATTCAACGCCCTAATTTCATTGTAAACAATTATATTTTGTTTTGCACTATATTATGAGAGTTTATTAGTCATTATGACCACTTAATCATTTTGCATCAAACCATTCAACAATCATCAAACAGTCTTTAATCTATTTGTTTTACAAGTAATAAGTTGACAATATGAAATTTTTTGTTTACATTTTTTGTTTCATAATTCATAAACACATAAAAATATATGTTTTACGAAACAAATATATATTAATTGATACCTTAAATTCAAACCGTATGATAAAAAAAAATCATGCGAAATACCATATGATGCACCAATTTTTCAGGGTTGTTAAATGATTAGCCCTTTGATTATATTTTACAATTACATTAGTTAATATCATTTTACGCGATTTACCACCTTCATTTTAAATTGATTTTGATACCATTCGTCTAAAATATGTTTTCCGCTTCGAGGACTACGTCAATGAGGGGCGTGCATGGGGTTTAAACTAAACTTGAACGAGTCTTAACTTTAGGATCAACGTTATATTAATCGAAAGGTCAAAGTACAACTGGCATGCTGTTGTGCGACGAGGGGAAGGAAAAATTGCATACAAGATGGCCCAACGACAAGGATGCTTGAGTATAAATGAGTGTGAAGCGTTAACCATGCTTGATTATATATTTATAGATATAAAGGTTTATTAGATTATTAAATGTAATTTATTTGTGTCATATCTTTTGGTTCTTAATTATAGATTATAGATATACAAATTATATATAGAGATTTAAAGATTTATTAGATTGTTATATGCGACTTATATATAAAAAGTAAATGAAAGATTCATTAATTTAATGATATGTTTTTATTTTAAATAATTCAAAAATTGAAAAAAACTAACAACTAATAGTTCTAACTCTCTCAAGATGTCTTATTATCTTTTGATGATTCTTCTTTATATAGATATATAGATACAAAGAACATTAACAAAAAAAACTGAAAGAGTTCCTCTTAATCCATAAAACGAAATTAATTTTTTTTTTCAAAAGATGGAATTAGAGGTGGTAAAAAATGACCCAACTCGTCAACCCAACCTAGAATTAGAAGGTTGGGTTGAGATTTTCAACTCATTTAAATAAATAGGTTGGGTAGAATTTTTCGACCTGCTTTCAACATGTTTCCAACCGATTTAAAATATTATATAATTTTATTTTATTCTTAATATTATATCTAGTATTCTAAATTTTAATTTTGTTTTATTTTTAATTAAAAATCCTATCATCGTGAGATGAAAGTCCAAATTCTAATCGTCTTTATTACTTTGAACAATTTGTTTGTATTTATGGTTGTGTTGTATTTTATTCAAAAAATCAAATAATCTAGTCATTTTTTTATATAAAATTTTAAAATTAAATGAGTCAATCGAGGTTCAACCTATTTATTTTAACAGGTTGGGTTAAAAAAATTGTAAACAGATCAATCCATTGTCAAACCATTTAGGTAACAAGTTGAGTTGAAAAATCTCAACTCATTTAATTAATTGGGTTGGACTGAGGTTTTTAAACCATTTAGGGGGTGTTTGGGATTGCTTATTTAGGATGCTTATCAACTTATTTCAGTCCCGTACCGCCAATAAGTTATTTCTAGTGTTTGGATGAGAAAAAAAAAGAAAACTGCTTATACCGGTGCCAAACCGGTAATAAGCATTTTTTTGATAAGTTAAACCTTACTGACTTATCAAAATCGACTTTTGGCATATTACCCTTTTAACCCTGTTAATACCCTCTCTCTCTCTATATACCCCAACAGACGAGAGGAGCCTGATACCTTTTAT